TCCTTAAGTTAATTTTTAAAATATTAAGAATAGTGAGGACAAATAAGAAAATGTTTAAATAAATATAAATAAATTATATATATTAAATTCATAAAAAAAAAGAGTCTAAAAAATTTTATAAAAATTAGCGAAGTTCCTATTTTTCATTATTAAACGGATTTTATGATTTGGATTTAAAGATTACCTTCATTAAGATATGATACATTTTCTATATATAAATTAGGAATAAAAAAATAAAAAAATAATATGAATTTATTAGATGATAATGAAGATAATGAAGAAGATGATTCAGCTTATTTAGTTTCTGGCAAAAAAATGGATTTTATATAAAAAGACGAAACTTCAAAGAAACAAAAAAGTTAATAAGAAATAGGCGACGAATCATTATCCGAAAATACAAGTTTTTTTAATTTGATTTTAATGACAATGAATACTTTTTTAAACTAGAAAAATAAAAGATAGAATATATTATATCATATATCTTGTGTTAATGTATAAGCCTTTTTATAATAACCAAAATTTTTATTCTCAAATTAACTATAAGAGATCTAAATTGAAGAAGAAAATAATTAAATAGATAAAATTATAGGTATATATATATAATTATATATAATTAAATATAGTTATATTGACATTTATATATATAGCACCAATTATAATTTATAAAATAAAGGTTTTTAGTTTATAGTCGAGAACATTTAGTTTTGTTGTAATATAAATCATAATTAATAATAAGAATTATAAAAAAATAAAAATGGTAAATCATTAATTGTAAATCTATAACGAAATATATTTTTGGTTTGATTTTTAAATCTTTAGGAGATTTATAAAAAATTGATTACGATTAAATTAAGAAAAGGGAAGGTAAATAAAATAATATATATATATATATATATATATATATATATATATTATATATATATATATATATATACTATTTTTATAGATTTTGCAGATGACATTTTACTAAAGAATTTTTTTAAAAATGATTAAGAAAAAAATATATATGATATATATTTAGAATTATAGGAAAATTTTAAAAAATAATTTGCTTAAGTTTAATAAATCGAATTAAATAATCTTAAATATGCAAAATTAAATGATTTTGAGTTAAAATAAGAAAATTAAGAGTTTATATTTGAACCTTCTGGCATTTTCTTTTTTTCTGAACTTCTCAATTATTAATAAAATAAAATTTAAGAGGATGATTTTTTCATTAAAAATGGCGATTTTTAATTCGAGATGCTAAAGAATTAAAAAATATCTAATTTTGTTAATTTAAAAGGATGTAAATTATTACTTTTTTCTAATTTAAGTACTTTAATTAATAATGTGGTATATTTAAATTAATAGTATTATTAGTAATTGCATTAGTAGTGTAAATAAAATGGATAAAATATTAATAATTAAAGCTTCCATGGTAAAAACCTGCACACTGAAAGTGCGAAATTCTAAGGGAACTTTTTAAATAGGCTCCATATGGTAGTATAAGTTGAGAATCCATAATTTAATTTGTTTTATAAAGAAAAAAAAGCCTAAATGATCTTAACTTCAAAAAATTAACATTGCATAATAATAATAAATGACTAAGTTTTGCCTTTTGATAAATATAATATAGACTTAAAAAAAAATTGGTCGATTTATTTTAATAAATTAGATTGCTTTGTAAATAATATTTAAAGTAATTAAGCTTTTTGGATAGAAAATTAAAAAAATTTAGTTAATATTATTTAAGCTAATTAAGTTATTATTTAATATAAAAATTTTAGTTTTTATTAAAATATATTGAATTTTTCAAAATCTTATATATAATAATAAAATAATGCTTAAAATAATAATCGATATTTTGATGAATAATAATAATAGTAATATAAATGGAACGATGTATTAAATAATAATAATATTATTATTATATAAATTATTTATATATATAATTATTATTTATATAGGAATGCAGGTCTAAAGGTTTTAGTTTTATTATAGATAGTTTAGATTCTAAAATGAATTCATAATGCTTTCAATCTTTTTATAAAGTTATGGAACTTATTTCTCTATTTACTTAATCTGAACATAAGTATATATTATTTAATTATTATTTTATATATATATATATAAATATATATATATATATATATGTTTTTCATTTTTAATAGAATAAAATATTTACAGTAATAAATAAAAAATAAAGAATTAGAAATTAAAAGTTTTGGAACGATGAAGATAATTAATAATATATAAAAATAAATTTATTAAAATACAATTATAAAGAAACATTAATTAACACATATAGAATATAAAATTTCAGTTTGTGGTCTATAAATGCTTGATAATTATTAAAGGCCTTTTTTAAATTTATAAATGGAAGGTTTCTAAATTTTAATGAGAACATATTCAAATCTTTCAGTATAAATATAAAAAATATATATATAAAATATATAAATTTATTTATATATAATATATATATATATATATATATATATATATTATCTAATTATATATTTAAATATTTATATTTTTATATTCTTTTATTTATATTTAATATATTTTTTATATCTATTATTACTATTTATATTTTTTATAAAAAGGGAGATTTTAAAACAACTTTAGAGAAATTTAATATATTAAATTTATATGAAATAGATAACGAAAGTGATTATAAATAAATTATATAATATCCTAGTAATGAATAATAGATTCGGGTTGAAAATACATACTTTGAAGTGTCAGGATAGATGAATAAAACTGAATGGAAATCTTATTAAAACTATGGATTTATTATTCCTAAAATTAATGTTAAATTAACAGAAGATATTTACGAGCCATTCTATTAATATTTTTCAGTGAATATAATTAATCTAATACTATTGATAAATACCAGAAAAAATCTAACATAAACCATAGTTAAGGATAATTTATACCACCTTTATATTTCGAAAAAATTACTTTCAGAGATTTAAAAATGTGTATTCATTATAAAAGTTAATCAAGCTTAAAAGTAAAATCATATATATAAATATATATATATTTAAAAATTTTTATATATACATATATCTATAAATTTATATATTTTTTATAGAGATTAAATGGCGTCTCAGTCATTATTTAACAATATATTAAAAGTTAAGTCTTTTGGACTAATAAGTAGTTATTTGATGATTTTGTTACTTATATTACTAAAGAAGTTGCCAAATAAATATTTTCATTATTAGGTTAAAAAATATTCGGGTTTACAAAGAGCATGTATATAAATAAATTTATATATAATATATATTTTATTATTTTTAAATATTTATATATAATATATATATATATATATATATATTTATAGAAAAAATATATATATATAAATATATATATATGTATATGTATACATATATATATAAAAAAAAATATAGTGATGACGAAAATAATAAGAATAAATGAGATATTTATTTAGTTTTTTTTTTTTTTGAAAAAATATAAATAAATTTTTATATATATAAATCTTTATTTTAAGTTTTGTTTATTATATATTAAAATATTAATGAAATTAAAATAAACAAGTAATAAAAAATCTTTAAATATAATTTTAACAAACTGTGAAACTTTTCCTAATTTTTTAAACGAAAATGAATATAGAGATGGTTTTGTTTAAAATAAGAAATATATTATTTGGAAAAAGATTGAAGAAATAAATCTATAATAACTTCAATAAGGATTAAATATTAAATTAAATAATATATAGCCTTAGAGAATAGAAATAAGATATTTAGATATAGGAAATAAATAAAATATAGATATATAATTTGAAGAAAAATATAAATATTATAAAAAAGCGTTTATTTTTCATAATCAGTTTATAAGTTATTTCGATATTTTTTAGAATTTTATTATTTGTTTAACTTCTGGGAATAAAATCAATATTTTTAATATTTTAAATTAACAAAAATAAAGCTTTGAGCTATAAAAAGGGGAACACTTTGAAAAAATAATGTTCGTAGAGAATAATTTGAAAGGGTTTTATGCAATAGAGGAGAAAGGAGTCCTTTATTTTATTAATTTTGATAATATTTAGGTTAAATAAGTGTGTTAAATTAATAATTTTTATAAAAAAATCGGAAATAATACTCATATATATAGAATAATTTAATTAAATGAAGATTTTTTAGTTTTTTATAATGGAGATAGTTTTATTTATTTAATTAATATAAAAAAAAATACTATAAAAAAGTCGTTTTTTATTGAAAATTTAAAATTAAATATAGAAGTTTCTTAGTTTAATTAAGATATATATATTATTAATGTAAATTAAGTATTTTATGTATTATTTATACATGATGATATTGATTTTAGTATATAAAATAATATATAGGAAAATAGTCTAGAAAATTAAAGGGAATTTTTAATTTAATTTAAAGGTAAAAAATATGAATTAAAGAAATATTTAAAGGAAGTTTGGTAAATTAAATTAATAAAAATGTTAAATTTTTAGGAAGAAATGAAGGATTTAGATGAATTTTTTAATAGTTTTGATTAGATTTTGTATTTATTTAAGGATTATTTAACTTTTAAGATATTTTAGTGCTTGGAACTAAATAAAATATAGTTTTTAGAGTTGATTTAGGTTAGTGTGATATTTTTTATGAAAAATAATTTAAAAAACTTAGTTTTTATTTTAAAGAATTTATAAATTAATAGCTATTCGGAAGGTTTTTATTAAAATATTTTAGAAAACGTTTGGAATTTTTTACCTTTTTATAATATTTAAAGTGAAAAAGAAAATAATTTTTATAAAAAAATTTGGCTTTTTTTAGCTTAATAAATATAAAAAGACAATTTTTTAGAAATATTGTAATAATACTGAAGGAAAAAAGATATATATATATATATATATATATATATATATATGTTTTTATATATGTATTTATATATGTATGTATATATATATATTTATATTTTTATATATTTTCATAAAAACTATTAAAAAATGATTTCTTTTAATAAACCTAAAACTATTTATAATGAGAAATATGCAAAAATATGTACATTAGGATAAGGAGCATATGCAAAAGTTTATGCATGTAAATTATTAAAGACATTAAATTAAGGAAAATCTTAAGATAATATATGCACATTAGATAAAATATTTAAGAAATAAAACCATAAATTAAAAGAAGGAGATATTTATGCAATAAAGAAATTCAAAAGTAAAGATGAACATAATTAAACTGGATTAGAATTAGATTAAATTCGAGAAATTAAATTTATGTAATTATTATAACATCCTAATATAGTTTAAGTATTTAATGAAAAATATATATATAATTATATAATATATATATATATATATATATAAATATAATATATTTATTCTTATATATTATCAAGACAGTTGATATATTTTTTAGATCAAAAAAAAATATAAGAAAACAAAAACAATAATAATAAAAAAGATGAAAAACTAATAACTAATATTATGATAGTTATGCCAATTTATATAAGTATAGATAGATTAAGAGAATGTTTTTAATACTTTAAAGAAAACGATTATAAAGTTATTTTTAAATAGATTTTATAAGGAATAAGTTACCTTCATTAAAATTTCATATTACATAGAGTAATAAATAATATATAAATAATCTTTAATTATATTATATAAAAATTAAATATATAATAATATAAATTTATTTTATTTCCATATATATTATTTCAGGATATTAAATGGGAAAATCTCCTTATTGACAAAGATGGAAATATTGTCATTACAGATTTCGGACTTTCAAGAGAATTCGGTTCTCCAGAAAGGGCTTTAACAGCAAATACATACACTGTAAATTATCGACCACCTGAGATTATTCTTGGAAGCACTTAATATGGCCCGAAGAGTGATATGTGGGCACTCGGAGTTGTTTTTATAGAAATTTTAATGAAGTTATAATATTTGTTTTTCTCTATAAATGGTAATTCGACTGAAGTTTTATAGAAAATTTATGCTTTAAGGGGTACACCAAGCCCTGATATATGGGAAGGTTATGATAAATTGCCTTGGAAGATTGAATTTACGGAATGTAATGCAAAAAACTTATCTAAATTGAGTATTTTATAAGGGTATTCTTAAGATTTAATTGATGTTTTAGACGCTTTATTATAATTAGATCCTAATAAAAGGCCAAATGCTAGTGAATTATTAGATTGGAAGTATTTTAAAGAATGTCCAAATGAATCAATTCAACTTAATAATTTCGCTAAATAATATTATTAAGAGGAAATGTTAAAATATAGATTATAATGAAATATATATTTTATTTTTTTAATTTCAATAATATTAATTATATGTAATTAAATATTTTTATAATGGATTTTAAAAAATTTCTTAAGTGTTTGTATCATTTAAATTTATTTTTTTAAAACTAAATTATCGTTTATGCGAGGATTTAATTATAATAAACTAGAACTTTTACCTTTTTAAAATAAAATGTCTCTTATTTTTTAGTAATCAGGACTATTAGTTTGGAATTAAAAATAAATAAATATAAATATATATATATATATATATTTATAATTATATGTATATATATATATTTAAATACTTTTTTGAATTGTTATTATATCGATAGTCTCTGTTTATTTAACCAAAAGTTGTATGAAATTATAATTATTATATTTTACACTTTTAATGACAAGACATTTTTTTATTTGTTTGTAAGTTTTATTTTTTTTTAAATGTATAATTTATTAATATATTTTATTTTTTTAATATTAATTGAATATATATTTTATTTGGAAGTAATTTTTTTTTTTCAATTTTCAATTTTTTTATAATTAATCTTTCTTATTTTTTTTTAACATGTTTATTCGAATTAATTAATTTCGTTATTAGACAATCTGTTTTATTTTATTGGAGAAAATTAATCATTAATTAAATCTATTCAAAAATATTTTTTAATATATAAAAATAATACTATTTTTAATACCTAATTATTTAATATTGAACCTTATTTATATATAATATATAATTTTATAAAATATTATTATTATTAATTACATTTATTATGTGTTTAGTATTTATTGTTTTATTTAATTTAATTTTTTTTTATTAAAAATATCAACTAAAGCTATCAATTATATTTCAAGTATTTGGCCAATTTATTATATATCTAAAATTATATATATATTTATAAATATATCTATATATTTATATATATATAAATAAATATATATATATACATATTTTATATTCATTTATATATAAATTTACATTTATATATTTATAATATATATTCTTACATATTAATTTTTCATCTGATAATAATTTACAAAATATTTATTATCTATTTTTATTTTTTAAGATATATGATACCATAAAATAAGCCTATAAGAATTATTAATTGGAAATGTAATAATTTTCTAAATAACTTTTTTTTATTTTCTTTTTTATATTAAAATATATTTACTTTTATATTTCATCATTTTTTGTATTTTCCAAATAATGTTTTAATTAATAAAAGTCAATCTTTTTGTTTTATTTTTTTAAAAAGATAAAATTTATATCTAATACTAAATAAAATACAGATTATTAGCTTTTTAATATATAAATTATAAGATTTTAAATATTTTTTTGTCCTATTTATTTTAAATAGAATTTTTTTTTAATAATCGTTCTATTTATCTTCCATAAATTTACTTTTAATTTTTAAATATAAAATGTCTAAGTATAAAATAATTATATATATATTTATATATATAAAAATTATATGTAATTATATTTATGTATATATAATTAATATATCAATTATATATTAATAATAATAATTTTTTATATATATATTTTTTTTTTAAATTAAATCAAATAAATTTTATAATAATAAAAAAAGCATAATATAATAATTAGTAAAATCATTAGTCAAAATGTATAACGTCCATCAAGAAATGATTTCAGAATAAGATAAGCATTTAGAAGAAATAAATGATGTAGCAAATAGGCTTAAACACAATGTAAAAGTAATAGACATAGCGTTAGATGAATAAGGATAGTATTTATAAATGAAATTAATTTATTTTTATTTAATATTATATATATATAGGAAAATAAATGATTTAGATGATAATATAGATAAAAATTTAACGAAAATGAACTTTGTATAAAAAAAATTAGGGGAATTACTTTAAACTAATGGTTTCTATATAATTTTATATATTTATATTTTTATAAATATTACATAGACTATGGATAAATTTGTACAATTATTATTTTGTTTGGAATATTATGTGTGTTAATATTCTTAGTATTTTATACATGAGTTATTTTTAAAAAAAATCTATACATATATATATATATTATTTATTTTTGTATTATATATATTTTTTTTGTTTGATATAATAAAAAAAAAATGAAAATAAATTAAACATATATTAACAATAAAGATGTTTCTTTTTATTTTATTATATATATTTACTAAATTAATAATTTTCCTAAATATTAATATAAAAGTTATTCGAGATATATGAAATCATCATCCTTTTTATTAAAAAGCTATTTATTTTTTTTGTTATTCATATTAAATTAATAAAATATTTTAATTTTTAATATTTTTTTAAAGAAATTATAAAAAAAAAAAATAGTCAAAAGAAGCAGCCGGTAATAAGTTTATAAAAACAGGAGGAGATGCAGTAGCCGATGATAGAAACTGGATAGCACGTATTTAAAATGAGTTAAATTGTACATCAGCATGGTATAAAGACTGGGGATTTTTAGCAGGTGGTGCTGAAAATTTAGATATAAAAGATGCGACAAAACTATATTCTATAGATTAATAAATATAGAAAGTTAATGATGTAATTCTGATATATATATATTAATTAATATGAATATATATATTAATAAATATATATATATATATATACATTTATTAACAGTAAGTAAATAGCATAACGAAATCTTTAAAATAAACTAGTAATTAAATTTACGGATAAGGTTAAAATTTAGAAACATTAAAATTGACAGAAAACAATATGAAAAATATCCTGAATTAAAACCATAAGAAAGAAAGTTGCCTTAAGGATGGAAAAAGAAAAATGGACTGCACGTATTTTTTATATATATAATATTAAAGATTAATATTATATTATATTTTTTTATGTATTTTTATAGCTGAAGATCCTTTTGATCCTCTTAAAGATTTATTTAAAAAGAAAAAATGAATATAATATAAAATACTATAGTTTATAAACATATATATTTATAGTTTATACAAATGTAAGTTTAATTATCGAATAAAAATCATAATTATTTATAATATATATGTAACTGATATTACTAATATTAATTTTATATTAAAATAAATATGTAATGTCTTATATATTTATATTAATCTTTTTTTTTTGTTAAAAAAAAAATAATATATTATATTTTTTAAATAAATATTTAATAGAAATTATAATATATATATATATATATATTTATATATAAGTATATTTTAAGAAAATGGATTTTTAAATTTTAATAATGAATTGCAATTTTAAATTTTTAGGTTTTATATATATGTAAAAAAACAGAAAATATTTATAAAAAATAAGGAAATTATTTTATTGTTGGATAACTGGACGAATTAACATTTCCGGATTAAATCAAAAAAGTATAAAAATCAAGAACTGAAATATAAACGAAAACATAAACACCAGAATTTGAAAAAAAACTTTTCACATTTAAAAATTTATAATTTTCTTCAAGAATTACATTGAAAATAGGAATTTTTTAAACCAAATTACTTATTGATCCAGGATCAAATGAGACATTAATTGTATTTAATAAACAAAAAAATATATAAATTTAAAAATATATATACTTTATAATTATATATTAATATTTTAAATTATATATATATATATATATATATTTAAAGACTAATTCTATAGTTATAGGTACAAATGTATTTACATTTACAACAAAAATGATTGCTTAGTTAAGGGAAACTAAATAATTAAAATAAGATTTATAAGTAAATATATTTTTTATATATAAATTATATCATTTTTTTTTAAAGATTTATAATGTTGATAATTAAAATGAAGAAATAGGAAGAGTGCATGTATAAATAAATTATATTTCAAATGAATTCTAAGATTAAATAAATGATGATATTTAATTAGTATAAAATCTATATTACGACCCATTAGAAAAAGATTTATATATTATAAAAGAAGTATAAAATAATTTTATTAAATATTAATACATAAAATATAATAATATATAAATATATATAAATTTAATAAAAATAATTTCATAGAAAAGTGAAAAAATAGAAAAAATATTATGTTTAAAATAAGAAGAATATATTAAAGTTTAAGAAAAAATATAATTTTTAAATAATGCTCATAAAACTGTTTCGTTTGATTTGTCAAAACTAAGATAAGAATGCGAATCATTGGAAGTATTTTTATAAAAATATTAAAATATATTAATAATTTTAATATATAAGTAATAAAACAATTAATTAAGAAATCAAATTAAAAGAAATAGTGACGTAAATGAAATTCATATTCATATTGATGTTCTTAAAAATACTAATTAAGGATAAGATATATTAAAATAAAAGTTAGGTAAATAAAATAATTATAAAATAAAAAATAAATAATATATATATATATATATATATATATATATATATATATATAAATATATTTAATATACATATATTTATTTATTTGTATATTTTTATACAAATTTATTTTAATTTTTTAAATAAAATTATTTAATAAATATTAATAAAAATGAAAAAAATATTTTAAAATTAAATATAATATTTAAATTTATAATTATTATTATGTAAATTTTAAATTTTTTTACTAGCAATCTTAATGAACAAACTTTAATTCGAATAAGAAATTTATTAAGATCTTAAAAATACTTATTTTTAAATTGAATCATAAATGAAAGCTTCTGAAGGTAATTATTTATAATCTTTTAAATATTTTTTTTATTTTAATAGAAATTAAAAATTAAATCGAAATAGTTAAAGAAGCTTCTTAATAATAAGATTTTCATATATAAAGATGTAGAGATTAATTACCTTAAATTTAAAATATTATTTCGACTATGAAATCATAAGAAAGTATAATAAAAAACTTAAAAAATTTGATATAAGTATTAAACTATATATATTTATAAATATTTGTATTTATAATTAAATAATATATATATATATATATATTATATATTATAAAATTTATATTGCATATATATATATTAATATCAATAAAATAGGAAAAAGCTTAAAATAACTACAGATTAAGTTCGAAAGAATTAGAAATAAAAATAAAATATTTATAGCATTAAAAAGATATATTAATTGAAAAAGAGAAACAAATAGAAAGTTTGCTTTCTATTTCTCAAGATTTACCTTTAAGTGCTTTATAAAAATTTTAAAAAGATGAATATATAAGAGAAGATCCTTAAGAAATAAAAAAATATAAATAAGAATGTGAAAAATTATTATAGGAAATAGAATAAAATAGCATGGAGTATTATATTAATAATTTCATTTTAAAATATATTATTAGATAATATATAATTTATATAAAAATATTAACATTTTTTATATAAATTTAATAAAAAAAGATTAGATAGATTAAATGTAAAGGAAGAAATGATTTAAAGATAAAATAAATTATTTTATAAAGATGAATAATATAAATAAAAAAAAGAAATGCTATTATTTGATATTGAAACAAAATAAAATTAGGCTAATATTATATAAGATGAAGTATTTAAAATATAGAAAAAAATTTAATATAATAAAAAAAAATATAGATTGTAAGATAAACAAAATAATATGCCCAAGAAACTGCATAATTGAAAGCTAAAATCTCAATATTAGATAATTTAATAAAAACTAGTCATGGTAAAATTTAATGAATTGTAAAAAATAAATAAAATTATTATATATATATATATTATATTTATATTTTATATATATATATATTTATTTTATATTTTATTTCAATATTATTTTTTTATCTATTTTTTTTATTTTTTTTAATAATTCATATTTATATTATTATTTAATATTTTTATTAATTTATTATTTTGTTATTTATTTTATCTTATAAAATTTATATTTCGTTATATTTTTGTTATATGATTTTTGTTATATTTTCACATTATATTTTAGAGTTATTTTATACTATTTATAATTATATGTTTTTTTATTAAATAAATTTGTTTAGTTATTCTATTTCTTATATTTTATTTTTTAAAATAATGTTTTTTTATTTAACTTCATGATATAATTTCAAATATTATGTAGATACATCATATTCAAAATATTTTTTGAATTAATTTGTTTCTTTTTCTTATTATGTATTTAATTCTTTTGAAATAATTCTGATTCCACAAATTTTATTTTCCATTTTTTTTTTTTCTTTTTTATATAATCAAATAATTTATAAACATAATATAAATTATTTAATTAATTTATTAAAATAAAAAAATTTAAAATAAAAAAAATATTAGAAAGATTTAAATTAATTATTTATATACAAAAAATAAAATTTAAAAATAATCCTATATATATTATTTAAATTAAAAATTATTATATATATTATATTTTTTTATATATATGTTCTATAAAAATGTTCATGTTCATGTTTATTCTTATTCTTTTTCATCTTATTCATCTATCCATTATATTCTTTTCCCATCTTCCCATATCCCGTTTTTAATAGTTCCATCAGTTAAAACATATCGTCCTTTTCCGTGTTATTTCCCATTTTTCCATTCACCTTTATATCTTCTATTATCTGCCCAACTATAAACTCCGTAACCCTTTATAAAAAAAACTTATATTTATAAAATAAATTCTAAATAAATTAAATACTTATTTTTTATCATTAAAGTATTATCCTTCATAAGATCTACCATCTTTCCATGTATATTTACCCTAACCATGCATATTGTTGTTTAACCATTCACCATCATATTATCTTCCATCTGACCATTAATACATACCCTATATTTAATAGAGAATATAATTAAATATATATATATATATGTTGTTAAATAAATTTTATATATATTAATTTTTATTAAAGATTTTTTTATTATCTATGTAATTTATATAAAATTTAATTAAAATATATCCCCAAATAAACAATATTTATAAATTTTATTTTTTATATCTTGCTAAAAATAGATATATATATACTTTTCCGCGTATTTTATTATCATGCCATTCACCAACATATTTTGAACTAAATATATATATATATATATATATATATATATATATATATATATATATTATATATATATATTATTACCAATCTGCCCATATATAAACACCATGGCCTTCTTTTTTTCCATTTACATATTCTCCTTCATATTTAGAATTATCTTTCCATGTTTCTATTCCATGTCCATGTTATAGATCATCTTTCCAATATCCCTCATATTTTGCACCATTTACATGTACATATATACCATATCCATTAGCTTTATCTTAATACCATTCGCCTTCGAATATATCACCATCAACATGATAGAATTTACCTTTTCCATGCGCTTTATTGTTTTACCATTATCCTTCGTATTTTGCACCGTCAACCCATTTTTATATTCCGAAACCGTCTCTCATACTACCTTTCCATTCGCCATCATATATGGCTCCACTTTTAAATACATATGGTTCACGTTTTTCCCTTTTTTCACATATATTATTTTCGTTTGTGTTTTCTGATTGTTTTTCTGTTTCTTTTATTATTTCGAAAAAAGAGTTTTCGTTTTTCCGCGAATAATTTTGTTCGAGTTCACTTTTGGATTATTATTCTTCTTCTTGTTCAATGATTAATTTTTAATTTTATATATTTTCATCTTTTTGAACAGTCTATAATGAGATGATTGGGGGAGGAAGATTATCTATTTATTCCTTATATTTTTCATTTATTTGTTATTCATCGCATGTATTATGTTTTAATGTTTTTTCAGTATTTTCTTTTATTTATAATTATTGTAATTCAACTTATTCCTTTATTTTTTTTTATTTTCTTAGAATTTTTTTTTTTCTGTGAAAATGATTTTTTTTTGTTTTTTACTGTTTAAGAAGATTTTATTTCTATTTATAAATCGGTTTTACATGGGACACATGCGCATTAATTTTCCCATATTTTATTTTTATCGTATAATTTTTATTAATTAAATGTAAAAAATATTATATAAATAATATAAAATTATAAATATTAGTATAAATATTATACATATATAGATTTTTATATATATTTTTTTAAATTTTATATATTTATTCAATTCATTCATTTTTAATGATAATATAGATATAAATATAAATATATATATATATATATATATATATATATATATTTATTATTAGAATTATATTTAAAATAATATTAAAAATATTTTTTCATTAAAATTATGATTAGAATGAATTATAAATCATTATAGATATTATGAATTAATAATATTAAATTTTAAAAATAAAAAAAAAAATATAGATTTTGTACATTTGAAAAAAAAAATATATAATTAAACTAAATTATTGAAATAAATATTAAAATATAATAAATTTCATAAAAAGAAAAATTATTTGTATAAATTTTAAATAAATATATTGTATGCATATTATTATAAAATTATATTTTATAATTTATTGTTATGTGTATAAAAACATATAAAAAAAAAAACTTAATACATATATATATATATATATATATATATAAATACATATATATTTATATATATTTATGTTTATATTTAATTATTTTTATTTATATACTTATTTATATAATATATATAAAATTTTATATAACAATTATAATTTTTTTTTTATTTTAAATTTTAAATTTTGTTTTTATTTTTTTTAATAATAAATATTTTTATAAATATTACTATTTTTTTTTATTTTATTTTTATATTAAATTTTTTAAAATTCATTATTTAATTTTATATTCATATAATGATATTAAATTATTTTTAAATTTAGTATTTTTAAATATTTTTCTTTATTTTTATTTAAATTTTACTAAGATAAACAATAAATCTTAATTTTTTTTATTATTTATAATTTTAATAAATCTTATTTCATTAATTTCTTTTTTTATTTTATTATATAATATACTTTATTTTTTTTCATATAATTCCTTTAAAAATCTTTTTATTACCTTTTTATAGTAAAATAGTATCTTTTATAATATTTTATATATTCTCATAATATCTTATTTTTTATTTTATATTTAATTAAATATCTTTAACATCCTATTCTTATGAATAATAATCATTTAATAATATAGTCATTTTTTGATTTATTTTTTGTAATTAAGATTTATGTGTTTTGTATTTTTTAAGTATACTTTATGACTAAAATATGCAAAAATAACATTTATTTATATATATATATATATATTAATAATTCTATATATATATAATTTTTTTTTTTTTTCAATTTTAAAAAAATATTAGTTATATCCTATAATGTATTATTTGTTCTATTTTTTCTTATATTAGTGTCTTAAAATCACCTTTTTATTAGATTTCTTCTAGTTCTTTTTATATTTATTAGTATTTTTCATATCCGAGTACCTATATTAGTAAATCGAGATTGTTTTTTAGATAAAAAATCAGAATATCGAGTATATTTTTGCTTTCTTAGGTATTTATTTGTGGTATATATGGATAATTTCTAGCTTAAATTTAAAGGTCTTTTCTAAGACTATCGTTTTAGAGGAGAATATTTTATTAGTTTAGTACTTATTGTTATTATTGGAGGTTTTTTATGAAATTTAGTATTTTTTAGAAGTCATTATTTTCGGAAGGAAAATTAAGTAAAAAATTAATTTTTTGGATAAAATCTTCTGTTTTTTGGAAATTTTCTAAATGGGTATTTTCTTGAAGTTTTTTTTGGAGGATTTTTCCTTTGTTTTTTAGTTGATTTTCAAGGTCTTTTTGTGTATTTTCCGCTTGGCTTTTCTATTTAAAGAGCTCTTATATGGTTTTTTTTAGGTCTTCGTTTTATTATTTAATATTTTTTTAGGTTTAGAGAAGGCTTTTGATTTTTTCGCTTGTTTTTTTGGATATTTCGTTCATTTCTTGGATTTGTAAGTCTTTTTAATCCAATAAGTGTTATATATTATTCGCTTCTAATTGAATTTTATCAATTTCTTGTTAATATAAGGTTAATTAGGCATCATTTGGTGTTTAATTTGGAGGTTTTTAATCTTGAATAGTTGTTTTTTGGAGCTTTTGTTAAAGTTTCTTTATTTAGGCGTCTTTTTCGGTAATTTATGGAGTTATTTTCAGAAATTCATTGAAGGTTTTAAGAACTTTTTCTTTGAGATCGATCTAGTCTTTTTTCTGAATATAAAATTTAATTTTATTAGTAGTTTAATTTAAAAACTATTGAAAATCTTAAACAAATTTCTTTTCTAAAATCTATAAATGTTCTTTATATATTTATTCACTATCTATCATAAGCAATTAAATTTTATCATAGTTCTATATAAAAAATAATATATATATATATATACATATATATATATATATATATATATATTATTTTATATATACATATATATATATATGTTTGTGTTATATCTACTTATTAAAGTTCTATCGTATAACTTCGATATTGAAATTGTGATTTTTTTAGGCTTTTATTTCATTTAGGAAATTTTCTAGTTATTGTTTATTATTTTACTCCAAAATTCTTATTTTTTCTTCGTATTATTTTATTAAATTTTCATTTTGTGATTATTTTTGGAATGTTTTTTCTTTTCCTTTTTTCAAAAGGTCATTTTCGGTATTTTTTTGGGTGTTTTTTTACTTTAAATTTTAGTTTTGGAATGTTATAATGTCCAGTTTTTCTTATATTTCAGTTATTTTTTATTCTTTTTAGTTGTTTTCTTCCGTTTTTGCGTTTATTATTTCTTCGTATTGTTTTTGTTAGGTTTTTAGAAAAACTTACATTTCTTGAATATATTATACGTTCTCTTGTATGTTTTAAATTTTCATTTGTAATTATAATTCTATATACTCTTTTTATTTTTTCATTTCTTTTACAAAGTATTTCAGTTCTTCAAGTTCTTGGTTTATTTAAGCCTAAAATTAAGTATCTTTTGATAAGTTTAATTTAAAATTAATATTTTTGAACTTTTATCTTCATTTTCTTATTTTATTTGCCTTATTTAATCTTATAGGAGTTCCTTTTCTTTATATAGAGCTTATAATTATGCATTTTTTTAGGAGAGTAGTATATTTTCTTATTTTTCAAGCTTAATTTCCCTCTAGCTTTCTTATAAAAAAGACTTGTTATTGATATTTTATTTTAATTCCCAAATTTATTTATTAAGAATGTTTTTTTCATCTTAAAAATCTGCCTCTAATTTAGAAATTTATAAATGAAGGCTTTTATTATTTTCAATTTCTTCAAAATATTTTATTTCGAGATCTTTTTATTCCATTTTTAATTACTTTATAAAATGTTCAGTGTTTTTTGTAAAAAATTATTCTATTTTTATTCATTTTCTTTTTAATTATTTAAAAGGCTTTCTTCTAATTTTTTTCTAAAATAAGAATCTTTTTTCGGTCTTTTCAATCTCTTTTTTATTTTCCTATTTTTATTCAATTAAATCTTTTTCTAAATTTTCTATTTATTTTTCTATATAAAATATTAGATTTATGTAAAATATGGATAATAAATATTAAATATATATATATATATATATATATATATATACTATATATATATATAATAATTAATTTAATTTATATATATATATATTATTA